ACAAAACTGTGCGCACTTTTAAATGAGGGCGCCACAGTTAACTGGTTAAGTTGCGCACCTAATATATTGTTTTTGTCATGAAAATTTTTAATTATTCTTAGTAATAGTGCAGGTTTACACAATACATTTATAATATTCAGTATATAAACAGCATATCGCACACTAGTGCACAATATATCCCGAGAATTTACGAAAAATATTGGGTTCCCCAAAAAGTAATTGCCGATTTTTTCATTNACTCTGTGATTGACGAATATTCTCGTCGTGGCTCGATTCTGGCGACACAAAACTGTGCGCACTTTTAAATGAGGGCGCCACAGTTAACTGGTTAAGTTGCGCACCTAATATATTGTTTTTGTCATGAAAATTTTTAATTATTCTTAGTAATAGTGCAGGTTTACACAATACATTTATAATATTCAGTATATAAACAGCATATCGCACACTAGTGCACAATATATCCCGAGAATTTACGAAAAATATTGGGTTCCCCAAAAAGTAATTGCCGATTTTTTCATTGAAATAAAATACAATTTTTTTTGTGCATAGAATGAACTTTAATCACTGACATATTTTCCATTTTGTTCGATGACCTTCTGCCATATTTCTGGCAACTTCATAATTCCAAGCTCGTAGAACTTCTGGTTTTTATCGGCAAAAAATTGATCCAAGTGCGATTTCACAGTTTCATCATCCTTAAGAGTTTTACCATCCAAGTAGTTCTACAAGGATCGAAATAAATAGTAATCTGACGACGCAATGTCAGGACTATATGGTGGATGTAACATCAATTCCCAACCAAGCTCCATTAATTTTTGGCTAGTAATCAAAAATGTGTGTGGCCTAGCGTTGTCCTGGTGGAAAATGACGCCCTTACGATTGACCAATTCTGGCCGTTTTTCTTTAATCGCTGCATTCAGTTTGTCCAGTTGCTGACAGTAGACATCCGTATTGATGGTTCGGTTCCATGGAAGGAACTCAAAAAATACCACACCCTTCCAATGCCACCAAATTGATAGCAAAATCTTCTTTTCCTGAATATCAGTTTCGAGGTGGTTTGTGGTGGCTCATCACGTTTGGACCATGAATGTTTTCGCTTAATATTATCGTAAACAATCCATTTTTCATCACCAGTAATTATTCGCTTCAAAAAAGGATCGAATTCATTGCGCTTGAGATGAGAATCGCAAGCATTGATACGCTTTGTTAAATTAATTTCTTTCAATTCATGTGGTACCCAAATATCAAGCTTTTTAACGAATCCAAGATGTTTTATTTGATCGTGGATTGTTGATTTTGGTATTTTCAACTTTTCTCCAATATCCCGCTGAGATATATGACGATCCAAAACGATTATGGCTTTGATTTGGTCATTATCAGCTTGCAATGGCCGACCTGAACGTTGCTCATATTTTAGTGAAAAATCTCCAGAACGGAACTTATCAAACCAATTGCGGCACTGTCTTTCTTTTAAGGCTTCTTCGCCATGTACGTCACGTTTAGCAGCCTGCGCTGCGTTTTTTCCTTTGCGGAAATAAAAAAGTAAAATATGACGAAAATGCTCGTTATTGGACTCCATACTAAAACTGACGCCAAACTAACAATTTTTAACAAAAATACGGGTAATTTGCTTCTAAAGTCAACTAAGAGTGACAGCTTACAAACGTCAAAAGAAAAAAATCATAACATTGACAGAAGACATTCAAACAAACGCTTAAAGCCATCTATTGGAGCCATCGGCAATTACTTTTCGGGCAACCCAATATAATTCAATACATAAAAAGATTTGTACAAATTTCAATATTTATCATTTCAATTAAGTGTGATTAAAACAAGTAAAGTAAAGGTTAAATAATTATTTTCCTTTTAAAAAAATATTCCCACTGCCATAGATAAATGAAAGCATATAGTGAAAAAAATTATTACGGATAATTGTTACGCCAATTATGAGAGGCAGAGAGGATAAATTTATATAAAGGAAACTACGAGGGTGGATCAAATATAAACTAGCCTTTTGCAAAAAGAACCACATATTTTTCAAAATAAATTCTAATTTCCATTTTTCTTATACTTCTTCATAGTCCACATCTTATCTACACATTTCTTTCAACGGTCTGGTAATTTTTTAATCCTACTTTATCCTAGTATTGAGTGAGTGCAAAAGTTCGTGCGGAGGTGCAATAGATGGCGTT